GAGGTAACTTGAGACATAATCTCTTAAATAAAGGTAACTTTACTTATCAGAGAAAGAAATCTTTTTCACATGAGAATAACATTGCCAAACCAGTATGCTAGATTCGTGACAAAATAGGTGATATAGCAAAAACATGAAGAATGTTGGGGAAAGCCTTCAAAGAATCAATTGCAAATATCACAACCTCATCTAAATCAACTACTGATCAAGGTTGGATTGCAAATTCAGGAGCTTTCCACCATGTCACCTCCAATTTGAACAATCTTTCCTTATATACTAAATTTGAAAGACCTAATGAAATTATCATGGGGGATCGAACATAAAAATCACTTCATTTAACCAATATTCTACACATTCCACATATAAATAATAACTTGATGTTTGTCTCCAAAGAATACAAGACTAACAATGTTTCCATGGAATTCTTTCATTAGCATTTTTTGATAAAAGACTTAAACACATGGGTACCACTTTTGAAAAGTCTGAATAAGGATGACATCTACCATTTTCTTAAGTGCATGCCATCTTCTCCATAATTGGCCATTATTTTCCTTAATACAACAAGTTTAGCTGATACAAGTTCCTCTATTATTCATTCCAATAATAAATCACTTCATTTAACCAATGTTCTACATGTTCCACATGTAAACAATAACTTGATGTCTGTCTCCAAAGTAAACAAGACTAACAATAATTCCATTGAATTTTTTCCTTGGCATTTTTTTATAAAGGACTTAAGCACAAAGGCACCACTTTTAAAAGGTCTAAATAAGGATGACATCAGCCATTTTCCCAAGTGCATGCCATTTTCTCCATAATCTACCATTATTTTCCTTAATACAACAAGTCTAGCTAATAATTGGCATAACCAAGTTGGTCATCCGTCTCTTAAAATATTGAATTTTATGTTAAAATCCTTTGAATTATCTTTATCTTCCTCCCAAAAATTGTCAATATGTGATTCATGTCAATGCAATAAAAGCCCTAAACTTCTTTTTCTTAAATCAAGTCTTAATTCAAAACCTCTTGATTGATTTACACTGATGTTTGGGGGCTTGCACACATTAAGTTCATTGAAGGATTCTTATATTATGTCATATTCATTGATAATTTCAAAAAATACATTTGGTTATTTCCACTAAAGCATAAATTTGATGTCTTTACACTATTTCCAACCTTTAAGCAATTAATTGAAAAGCAATTCGACATTAATATTGTGACCATATATTCAGATAATGAAGGTGAAGATAAGAAGTTGTCTCACTTACTATGCCAACATGGTATTTTGCACTTAACCACACCTCATCACAGTTAGTATGAGACCTACAAGCCAATCTATGATTAGATGGGAATTGTATTTTGAGATATTCATATATGACATTTTGTTATTAAACAGAATTAACCATTATTGTCTATTTTAAACAATTATAATTATTTTTTGACAAAAATTAAAAATTATTTTAATGGCTTGCACATGCCACGTGTCACAAATCCCACATTACTAAGAAATAGGGTACTTCTTGAGTATATAAATATGGATCTTCCACCACCTATCAAGCATGTCTTTTGGATTAGGAACGTAGGATTATGATTTATAAACTTATTTAAACTCTATTTTCAGAGTCTAAAGCCGCACAATTTTAAGCTTAAGTTCCGATCCATGATAAATGGTATCAGAATAAACTCAAATCTCCATTGATATGAACTCCCATGAGAGATATAAGGGTCGAGATAGACTAGGATTAGCGTAAGAGCCCATCTTTTCTACGAGTAAAGAGTTAGTGCGACGATAGCGTTACACAATTGGGTGAGATAGAATGTTATAGATCCCACATTTTTTTATATATAAACATGGACTTATTAGGCTTGTTTTTTAGGATGAGTTTAAGTTTCAACCGGTAACACCACGTGTCCACGTGCCAAGTACATTATAATTAATTAAATATTAAATTTAATTAATTTCAAAATCAAATAGGCCAAAAAAAACTCATCTATGGTCCATTTGCCTACTAAATTCTAATTATAATGAACTTATACTCCTATTTATTTAAATCTCTTTTTCTTTTTATTTTTTCAATGTGAGATTTCGTCCCACGTTCATTATTTTTGAAAATATCTAATATGAATATCCAATAACAAATAGAAAAAAGGATATACCAAAATTAAATGTTTCGGTAATAGTTCATATAACAATGTTATAGTAAATCTAAAGGGGTGCAACGTATTTAAATGGAAACATGAAACATCTATTTCTTTTTTTTTAGCAAAAAGAAAAAAACAATAAAATAATATTATTTGATTGTTCGGAAGAATGATTACATTATTATCTAAAATAAATTCATAAGTGATCCCTCACAAATAATATAGTTAAGAGATATTAATGAAAGCATTTTACTGTAATTCTTTTTATTACAATCTTATAATTATTCAATCATAACAAAAACTAAAATTATGTACGATCCATCACTTATATGTGTAAATTTTTTATAATATTTTGATAAACCTTACATAATTTCTAATTGTGATTGATTAATTATAATATAAAAATCACAAAAAATATATTTTCGATGTTAATTTAGATGGTCATTTGATTTTTTGGTTGGGTGCATCCTAATTGTAATGTGTAGTAGGTTTAACCAAAATGAAATTTAAAATTGCAAGATGAGTAAAGGCAGATGAGGGAAGCTAGTAGGGGCACCCTCGCCAGGCTTAAAAAATTTATAATTTTTATGTCTTGTGTTTTAAAATTTAAAAATTTTATTCTTATTTTTTAAGATTTTTTTGTAATTTTACTCTTTCAAATATTAAACTTCTTATTTTCGTGAGTCCATTTCGTGCCGCACCTACTAAACAAAGTCTCCACAATCTTTACGCCTAATCCAAGCCCTGCTTTGGTTGTTGTTCTGAAAAAGGTTATAATAGGTTTTGAATCGATTGATAAGGACAGCCCAATTACTTTCAAAACTAGGACAACTTATTCGGATAAATTCTTTAAAAAGTAGTCACCCTCTATGGCATTAAAGTTGTAATAAGATTGCTCAATTCGTGACTGTTGAAATAAAAAAAATGGTAAAAAATGGAAAAGAAATATATAAATATATATTTACCGAAATTAGTTCACGTCTTTTTCTTGTTTTGGGCCCAACGTAGCTCATTTTGAGGAGCACAAACAAAATATAAAAATGTAAATGACAATCCCTCCTCAGTCTGTTGTGCATGCTTTTTTATATGAAGTGTATAGGTGAATTAAAATCTTTAATCCGTGCAAGGCAAAACTTGGTGGTCCTTGCTTCTTGGTGAACGTAGACACATATTTTCTGCTATAGTGAGAACAACTTTATATTATTTCGGCTCTAAAGATTGATATCTTCAGTCAAATTCATAGATGGTAGTATTCACTTTATGAGTTTTGTATTATAGGGAAAATCTTCAATTAATATACACAAATTAGGTGCAACGAAAACCTCCTCAGTATCATAGCATCATTGCAATATCTCGCAATTCAAATTAAAAGTTGTTTTTAGTGTACTTATCAATGCTGGAAAGAGGTGATAGAAAAACGACATGAAAATGGACTTTGTAAACCCCGTTCCTTGGTTAGCTAGTGGAGCAGTACTAATACATTATTCTCTCGTTCCTGTTTTATTATTCTTTTTTTTTTTAACTGATAATGACACAGTGGACGTAGACAGCAGTAACAATTTCCCAAGTTGAAGGCGCCAACTGCCATGTCAAGGTGGTGGCAGGGCCCATGAATCCAAGAACCACAATTAGCATATTAGTTTTTGCCAAGAAGCTCCTTGCGCCACAAAGGGGACGGCACCCATGGGGCCACGAGTCGCATATCCAGTTATCAACGGGGCGTTGTGGTTAGCAAGCAGCAGCCGCCCACACACACCATTTCCCCTCTTTTCTTACTTTTGACGGTTGCATTGGCGTCCCTTAGACACGTGGCTCGTAATGATGCAAAAGGCTGGGCGGACGCTACTGCACAACCAACCAAAAAAAGCCAGCAGCGGCGGCGAAGCTTTATGAGGCTCTGGCTCTTTCGCATTTCGACACGTCGCAATTTCGCCGCGGTATCTGTGCGCCGTACTCAACCCCTTCACGTGCCGCCCATTGTCCTTTCCCCTTCTCCACCACTTTCCCCATTCCCACGCGCGTGCCCCACCCATGGGAACAAAAACAAAGAAATATTATTTGTAACGAATCCACCTCCGGCAATTTATGACTTTTTTTTGGGCTACATGAAAGCATTTAAACGAGCCCGTACGTTATCATACAACCACAAAGTAAAGAGAGCGAAATCCTCTCCACAGATTCCGCCGACGAAGAGCGGGACCCACGGGGAAGCGGCAGCGTTTTTCAAATCAAAAGGGGGCCTGCGCTTTGGTTTCCCGCGTGGGACCCTTTCCCCAATAGGCTCCGCTGCTTCTGCTACATTTCCTCGTCTCACTCTCTCTGCCGCTTCCAGCTGCTTCAAACAAGCTTTACTGCAAAAACTGATTTAACACGAAATTAACAATGATTGATTAGTTGGACGGCAAAAATAAAGTACACGTGCCGGCTACCGTAATCACGACATGCACCCCGTCAACACGGTATTCTTCTCTGGGTCCCGCTCCTAGTCTCGTGATTTCATAAATTAAATTAATTATTATTATTATTATTTTTTACTTTGGCCGTCGGTGAGGCTTCTTACTGGCTAAATAGTTGCTAATTTAACGCTTAAACAGGCGGCAGAGGTAAGGATTTTTCTCTCATTTTGTCATGGATTATGTATGGTGGGTAAAAGTACGCGAGACGAGAACAAAAATAAAATATACTAATAACGTGAACTGTTTCGATCAATCAGTACGACATGTTCAGAGTTGCCTGTCATCAGAAAAAGGATACGTTCACCGTGGATGAAGGTCGTCATTTAATCCTTATGATTGAGTTAATAAAGTAGTACTGCTAGTACTAAAGTACGTTGAAAGCAACATAAACCAAAGCAAAAGTATGAAATCAGCATTAGAGATTCGATATTTCATTGAGAAAATAAAAGATTAGTTTGAACGAGAGGCTATAACAAAAACAGCTAAGAAGTATTATAATTTTTGTTCCTCTCAGTTGGGGAAAAAAAACACAGGGCTCACTATCCTAAATTATTTACATCGAAGGATAAACCATAGCTGCAAAGGTTATCAGCTTTTTTTTTTTTTTGGTTTTCTTCTTTTTCTTCAAGGCTCCCTACCTCTCACGCTGAAAATTAAGGTGAAAAAGGGAAAATGAAAATATTTGCCGTAAAAAAAGGTAGAAACTATCAAGCATCCACTGGGGGAGGAAGATTAAGATCAAGGCCAGGGCCAGGCAACCTTGGCTTACAATCAACAACCGACGAAGAGTCTGATTCGCTTTGGACCACACCTCCAAATCCCATACTCAACTCAACTCCGACCGGTTCAAACCGAACTGGGTAAACCTGACCTACAACCTCAGCTCTCCCCAACGCATCAAAAAACAGAACCGGCCGCGCGTGAGCCACCCCACCCATCCTATCAGCACCACCCAGAGCCAGCTGCTGGTGGCACGCGAAAGGAAACCTCCCTACAATCCCAGTCGCACTGCTCCCTACACGCTTGAGCTCACGCTCCACTGTTGGGCTGGAGGATTCCTCGACGGTGCTACTTGGGCTAGGACTTTGCTGATTCTGGCGCTTGTTACCTATGTAGCTGTTCGTTTTATCTGGTACAGGAAAGTTGGTCTTAGCCTTAGGTCCTCGAAACTCACGCGCCGCCGCGTCATAGGCTCTGGCAGCTTCCTCAGCCGTATCAAAGGTACCGAGCCAAACGCGACTCTTCTTGCCCGGATCTCTGATTTCAGCTGCGTATCTACCCCACGGCCTCTTCCTTACTCCCCTATAATGCACCTCTTTGCTCTTAATAATTCCATTAACGTTTCCTTTCTTCAACATTTGGCTTGCATTTTTGTCCTTGGGAGCCATTATGTTTTCTTCTTTTTAGGTGCAAGTAATTTGCTTTAAGAAACAAATGCGGGTGGGTTAGTCTCTTATATAGAGTTAGGAGGATGCGCAGTCAACGAGGGGTTTGACTGAGGCGCCGCCCAAGTGAGGAGACAATATGATAGCGTTGTCCGGGAGTACGTGTCACGCGGGAATGTGGAGACAAGCGGCGAGGTGTTTATGTTGTGCCGGCTTTGGCCTTGACCTCTTTGCATGCCCTTCACGCTTTGTTTTATCGAGTGGTTCCACTCTCCACTAATTTCAACGATGAACAACGCCCATTTCTATCTCTTAAATGTTTGCAGAAGCAGTTTAAAAATAAGAATAAATCTACAGCATGCTAATTTTAATATTTTATAATCACGCTCATAGATTATGTTCAGGAATCATAATAATAAAAAATCGATGGGCTATGCTTAGCTTTTAATTTAAAAAATGTAATCCAAGATTCCAAGATTAATACAAGGATGAACGTTGAGGAGTGTTTCGCACGCTCCTTGTTCAAAAGTGGGAAACGAAGCCATCTTCTTCGGTGCTTTTAAGCTATGACTGATTCTAACAACTGACAGTATCATCCGCAGTATCGCTCTCTATCCTCTAATAAGCTTCGGAATTGCTCTTTTACACCGACAGTTAAGAGAGAGATAGAGAAGAAGAGAGTAAAGCTACAGCCATGGAGAAAGCGACGCGTGTCCTAGCCTCCGCCCCTTGACGTCCCTTTAAACAGAAGCCGTGCCGTGGACCATAAGTATTTGTTTCGGTGCAATCACCAAACTACATTTGTACGTCTCTGCCTGCGCTTTGAAAATAAAAGATTTTTACTTTTTTTTTGTTAGGCTTTCAGGAAACCCTTGATACGCCCTTTCCCAAACGCGTGAACCAAAACTAAAGAATGCTTAGTGGGAGTTGTTGGAACCGGGTCAAGTTAAGCGCGTGAGAACAGTGAAGTAAAAGGTTGATTAAGATGTAATCTAAGCAGAAAATTGATGACATAATCACCAGATTCTTAGCTTAAAAATTGCAGCTCAAACTCTGAAAGGCTAGACATGGAGTGGATAGGTTACTTCCACCTGGACCGAGTGACATGTCCAGGGATGCTTACGCTGATTGATTGTGGGGTCCACATTAGATAATGGCAGGCGGCAGAGTCATTTTGTCTTAATTCTGCTCCTAAATCTTCCTATTAAAGCTTGCTCCCTTGATATTTTGCCAGCTTGTTTGTGGCCAAGGGCAGGCTGTTACCACAACTGATACGGGCATACGGCTTTGATTGATTGGCTTAATCCCACTTGAGATCCAAGAGAGAATCTTTAAAAGTCGATTTCTCCTGTATAATGTTCGGTGATTGCGAGGGAACTGCCAGTTCCATGTGTCAAAAATAATGGACCTCAAATTTTGAACTGCAGGTGGTAGATCCATCATCTCGATTATTTTTAATATTTAATTATTTAATTCATTAATTAATAAATAATTTTTACTATAAATTTTTTTTCCTTAATTTTTTTTTAAAAAATCCATCCTTTTGAATATTTGTTTGGGCGTTGGGTTATTGGATTTTTGTCTCGGCGTGTCTTTTGAGTTACTAATTTTTTTATGACTTCCATCGAAAATTCTCAGTTTCATTGAATCAATGTAAGCTTTTGGATATTTAATTTATTAAAAAATATATAATTTTTTATTTAAAAATAAAATATAAATTTATTTTTCAATTTTAAAAAAAAATCTTGTAATTTTTTTTAAAAAAAATTACATCCACTTGTTTTTCGTCTCAAAAGTTGAAATAAATTTCACACAATATAAGTAGGTCTCCACAGAGGCTGAACGTCAAATACCAAATAACAAGTATTAATTGGATTTGGTCCCATGAGCCTAAGTAGAGTAGAGGCTTATATGGAATTAATTTTTGTGGCCATAGACTAGATGGCAAATAATGCATTTTCTTCTAATTTTGCAAAGAGCAATTAGAAAAAGGTAGGTGAAGCATGACGACGTCCAATTAGGAGCCATATCTTATGGGTCCTCTCCCCAAATTAGTATTTATTGGTTACAAAGAGTTAGGCAGGGCATTGGGAGAGTAGCCCTCGTGTAGAATGGATCAGGTTTGAAAATCGTTACATTAATTTGGCATTATTGAAATTTGAAAGTTTTAGGTCTATATCAAAGTATGCGAACCAAATATATGGTTGAGTTTTTGTCAACAAATTGAGACGAAGCTCTTAATTAAACATCTTTTTCCTTTTTTGTTTGTTTTCACACCTGATGGGACTCTCACCTCCGTTGTCCCTGTCATGTGTCCACCTGAAAAAATTATTACTATTTGTTGTAAAATTTTGAGAAACAAATAAAAATATAATACAATAAATAAAATAGTAATAAGCTTGAGACATGATATTATTATCTTTAAGAATAATTTTCTTCTTCAAAGTATAAAATTTAATGCAAAAAAATTATAGCAGTTATTTTTCAAGATTCAACAGATTCTTTTTTATTTACATAAATCAGTAAGTGATAACAAGAATAACAACAAAAATTTTCGAAAATATAAAACCTAGTAGGAAAAAAAAGAAAAACAGGGAAAAAGTATGCAGAGAAGCTTTAGAGGAAAGCATGTAGAGAAGCTTTAGAGGAAAGGCTTGGTGTGGTTGTGATTGATATATATAGGCAAAGTAGAAAGTTAATGTTACAAAATATTAGTATAAAATCAACATAAAATCAGTAAAAAAAAAATCAAGATGCTGAATCAAATAACGTTTAACAAATATTTGAGTCAGGTAACGTTTAAGAAATATCTGGAAACAGACTTAGTCTCCGACAATATTCTTAAAGCCAAGGTATAAAAAGTTCACTTGGGACCCAACTCACATATATACTCGCACACAAGGAGGGGAAATTTGCATTTTCTCAAGGTCTAACTCAATCTCGTATGTGCACGAACCTACTTCTTTTTTCTTACTTGCAACAAGTTCATAATAAGTTTTCATATATAAAGCATGCACCTCTCTTGTACCTTGACAATGTGGGATGTTGAGACATTATAAAATACATTATGTTTCCAACAATCTCCCACATATTTCATAAGGTTTCAGAAAAAGTTTTTTGCTAGGTCAAATTTCATTTAACAATAATGCATAGTGACTTTTTTTTTTTAACTATGAACCAGCCCTAAAGAGAATGAAACATAAATCACAGAATTTTGATGAAGTTTATAACTTATATGAACCAAAAAATTCTTTATGTTAAATATAGTTTTCATCAATCACATTACACCTTCACAGTTTTTATTGTTTAATGCAGTTTTACGCAAATAGGCCATGCGCATGTCTGGTTATTAAAAGTTATTTGAGAATAGTGCTTTAGAGAATTTACCACAATTCTCATAGGAACGCCCCTACTCCACACTGATATAAGTGATTCCATAAAGTATATACTGTAGTTTAATACACTACCCATAAAAGATATGAAATTTATTAAAAGTTTAACTCAACCTCTCTTGCATCGTAGTTTTGCACTATTAATATCAACAAATAACTTGCTATTACCCATATGAAACTAATTCATAGGATCTCCAATCACATAAGTTGGGTTACTATTATTTGTTGACTTCTTCAATTGGCTTAAGTCCCGTTCCTCTCAATGTATCATTAATTAATTTGCTTCCTGAGGGTTTAGTTAAAGGATCGATCAAATTCAACTCTAACTTCACATAATTAATGGACATAATTTCATCTTTATGTAACTGTTTTACTGCATCATGTCTTAAACGAATGAGTTTATTTTTACCATTGAAAGCTTTATTCTTTACAATGGCTATTGTCGCTTGACAATCACAATGCATAGACACAAAAGGTGTTAGTTTCATTCCCAATGGAATATTTGCTAAGAGGTTTCTCAACCACTCAGCTTTATTGCCAGCCAACTCTAGAGCTACAAATTCTGACTCTATTGTAGATTTAGCTATTATTGTTTGTTTGGCTGATTTCCAAGTTATAGCACACCCACCAAAAGTGCATACATAACTACTAGTGGATTTTGTCTCATCTGAATTTAAGATCTAGTTAGCATCACTGTATCCTTCTAATACAGTGGGAAATCCATTATATAAAATACCATAGTTTATGGTACTTTTCAAATATTTCATCACTCTACTCAAAGCAGTCCAATGATTCTTTGTGTATATCTGCTCAATTAATACATTGCATAGGCTATATCAAGTTGAGTATAATTCATCAAATGCATCAAACTCCTAATAATCTGTGCATTCTCGGATTGAGCTACACTAGCATCTCTATATTTCTTTAATTAAATATTACTATCATAAGAAGTACTCACAGATGTGACATCCAAATGTCTAAACTTTTTAAGTAGCCTTTCAACATAATGCTTTTGTGTTAACATTAAGCCTATATCACATCTTACGATTTTAATACTCAAAATAACATTGGCTTCTCTTAGATCTTTCATATCAAATTTTGAAGCCAAGAAACATTTTGTTTTATTGACCACATCAATGCATGTACCAAAAATAAACATATTATCAACATATAAGCTAATAATCACACATTAATTATTAACAGTTTTTGTGTACACACATTTTTCAACTCTAATAGTAAAAAATTCACTACTAATAAGAACTTGATCAATTTCTCGTGCGATTGTTTTGGTGCTTGTTTCAAGCCATATAAAGATTTATTCTATTTATAAACTTTGTTTTATTTACTACAAAGAACACATCCCTCAGGTTGTACCATATAAATTTCTTCTTCTAAATCACCACTTAGAAAAGTGATTTTAACATTGTCATAGCTTAATCTCGGGCCCTGACTGGCTCATGGGCCCAATAAGCATAGCCCACAGGCCTAAGCAAGCCTTTCTATGTAAACTTGTTCATTAATCCATCCATCACACATCATTCTTTAAGATCCATAATTCATAATTTCCAATCATAATTTTCTCGAGAATAAACCATGACAACCAAGTGTTTACCATCCTCAAAATAGTGTTATCACTTTCCAACTTGCGACGACATTGTTAAT